ATTAGTATTTTGTATAATTATGGGGCTACGCTCTGCGAGCTCCGCTATAAATGACTTAGCTTAACAGTTTATAAAATTAAAATGAGAGAGTTGTGCAGACCATTCCCTTTTTTCCTTCTCTGGATATTTACGCAAATAACATAGTCACTATCAGTCTCGCTCATTCTTGCTTTCCACTAAGCTTGTGGAAAGATGATAACCTCAGTTTTTCTTTTTAAATGGCCTAATTTGTACATGAAGATGATTGTTCCAGGTAGGCTAACCTTATAAATTAGTTTTGAATATTTCTTGAACCTGTCGTTGAATTAATGTTTTACTCAATTTTACTTCACTAACCTAAACTGAATAAATCGAAACTTGAAATTTATTTCTTCTCCTTTTGAGGTGTGCATCAAAATTTTGAAGTCATGGCAGGCTTGAACTACAGGTTTATAGGAAATCTACATACGCATATGTTTTAAACATAAAAAAACAGAATTATGGCTACTTCAAATGACTTTACTATGTCCCATACGGGTACAGGCAGGTGTTGTAAAAAGGTTGCGTAGCTTTTTCATCAGTACACATTTCTTTTTGTAAGAATCTTGTTTATTTGGCCTGTGCTGAGTTCTAATTTTTCACACAAATTTCACTTTCTTTCGAATATTCTTAGGTCTCCTAGAATCAGTTAATAATCATGTAATTAAAATAATTGCATGAAATCTTACAGATGTATGGTACACTATTATTTCCTCTGATCCTATTTACATTTCATTATGTAGGGATCGGTATTGGTTATAAAAGTATATTCAAATTAAACTTTTGTGCACAGCCTATGCAACAAATTTTTGCGGTAAAATGTTGTATCCTTCTTTAAACTAGTTATCAGAATAACAATGTTTTACGAGGCACAAGAATGGCTTTTACGGCGTACTAAAATCTTCAGTTCCTTTACCTAGACAGCCCAACCTCATCAAAATTTTGGCAGCAGGGGCGATTCCCACATAAACCCTCCTCAATCCTGTTAACTTATTATGGATATGGCATTTCAAACGTGGCGTATATGCCACAAATGTTCCTCTTCCCTGACTAATTATTCTTTATTATGGTGTTTACAAGTTGTTGAAAATGGTTGGGTCGAAATATAATACAAAGACTTGCCAGTAGATAGTCAACTGAAAACGTTTTACATATAAATAAAATTAATTGTTGTCCTTCTTCTTAACATGATGCGACAACTCTACCTTCAAGTAAGTTCAACTATTTGCAAACATGAGAAAACTCCATCTAAAACTTTTCAACCCATTAAATATAGCCAATAACAACATCACCTCGATTTTAAAACTAAGGAGAAAACTTAATTGATGTTTGGAATTGATTTCTCTGATATAAAAATGAAATCCGGGCATTATCTCAAGTTTTCTACAAATGCCTTCACGATCGAATCGTCATCAAGTTTTACTTATGACATTCTTGTTAAAGCTTGCCTTATTTTAAAGCAAACTTTCGCAGCACAAGATCGAGAAGCATGTTAGACAAATTTCGTATTTCATTGGCTAGAGTTGCTAAGATCATGGACAGTTGGTTTAAGACACCTACATGATACGTAGTTACAGCAGAGGCTACCGAATCAAATCAAAGAAAAAATCTCAAAAATACGACGTGTATCTCCAGGCAGAGGACAATAGTGAAACAATAATAGCCGAAAGAGAAAAGTTTTAAAAATTTTTACAGGTTCAAACACGAGTTGATTAAAATTACTTTTCTTTTTAATTTTTGACTTTTTAATTTTTCTTTTTAAATTTTTTAGAGGAGGTTGAAAAGTTAGGGAAAAACGGTGGGGCAAGCAGTCATACCTGGGAACTTCAAGAGAAGATATTAGAGAAGCCCATACGATTCTGGCGTCTAAGTTTATTAATTCATGGTTCTCGCGTGTATACACTGATATCGACCAGTCGTGTCTTAATGCGAAGTACTTCAGTGTCGTTTCTTTAAATTTTGGCTCATTTTCTCAATGGCTCAATCTTTCTCGTGGTCCTCCACTGTTTTTAAATTACTCGTATGTTTTCAATCATCCTCAGAGATCCAGGGGCTGTGACTTGATTTCATATCAGGGTGGAAGAGCCCCTGTGTTCAATATTTTAGACTCTATCTTTTTTCATAGGTCAATAGCTTTGCTATCATCAACCGAGTTTCCTATCAAGCTAAAATGATGTCAGAAGGTCATTTATTTTCATATCAATTAAGGTTTCTGAAATATCTCATCAAAGGGGTTAGGATTTTAGAGTTGACTCTTCCAAGTGTCTTCTTGATCCAGAAGAAATGAAATTAGCTGCTTGCTGGAACAAAATTAATGGCTTAAGTCGAAGGGAAATATGTTCTAGAAATTCTCTTAAGAAATTACCGCTTTGACATAAGAAATAACATAATAACTGTTTCATTCAATTCAGCTTCTCACCGCATGATCCTGCACGATAGAGATTTCTTGCACAAGAGGGTCATTTCGATCGATAATCAATCTACGTTACGCATAATATTATTGTTTTCGTCCATATAGCAAGTCGCTAACAAACTGAACCTTCATAGTGCTATTTTACTCTTCATCAGATGAAAAGAGTTCATGTTCATGGTAAAATAAAAGAAAGACCTTCCAGTTTCCTGACGATGTTATGACTTGGTCAAAGTGAATTTACGAGCAGAGAAAACGGCAGTTCACTGAGCCAGATCAATTTGATTCAGTCTGGTGCTTATTCCGCAAAAATTCTAAGGGAAAAAAGCTCACAAGAATACTTTTCATGAACGAGTAATCAAGAGATTAAATCTCTTGGAGCCATATCTTGTTTGGAGATTACTTTTGTTGTCTTACGCGTCGTTGTAGAGTTTTTAGATATGAAGAACAAGTAATCCACGTCGCTCAGTATAAATGGTTGCATTGAAAGGACAGAAAAACATTTCATACTGTCAAAACAACATCGAGTCTATTAGGTCTAGTTCAAACGTCGATCTTTACATGTACCGAACCTAATTGCAATTTGGGTCGACTCGAATAATTAAGAGCGGCAGTTGATTCAAACGTCGATCCGAATTTAGTCGATCCTAATTGCAAAACTGAACATAACTCCATTGTAGTCAGCGGTTAATGCCTACCAAAATGGCGGAAAAAAATGCGGGAAGCACAACTTGTGGAAATGAAGAGCTTGTTTTTCTTGCAAATGCGATTGAGGGTAGAAAAAGGCGACTCAAGATGCAGTTAGCATTAAACAACCTTGCTGCCAGGAGAAGACGAGTTTTGGAAGCTTTAGGTTTAGGTTTAGCTTTATAAAAAAATTTAAAAATTTTCCTTCTACGGACTCGAACTCGTAACAAAAAATACTTTTAATGGCTTATATTATAGACAATACAAGCTATTCATTTAATATTATGAAGCCATACAAAAGAGGAGCACGAGCCTTCCTCCTTTCCCGCCATATTGTTTGAATGGTTCGAAGGCTTTCGCGCATGGCACGTAAGCGAACTTTCTTGAATTGTGGGTAAAACATAATTATTTTAACGTATGTATAATGTATGCGTTAAGTTCGGTACATGTAAAGTACGACGTATGAATCAATGCCGATCTTTTACCGTTCTATCCGACTAGCCGAGTCGGATAGAACGGCACTGTCGATCCGAATACAAATCTGCCGATCCTAATTGATTCAAACGTCGATCTTTACATGTACTTAATAGAAACGTTAGGTTCGGTACATGTAAAGATCGACGTTTGAACTAGGCCTTAATTGCGTTAAGTAATGCGATTCGGATATGCTCGTTTCGAGAAATTAATTGTAATAACTCGAATAAGAGACGTCGAATACAAGTCTTTGTATAGCTTTAGTGGTTTATAACAGAAAGGAAACGATTGTAACAGCGCGTGGCAAAACAAAAGGGATCGAAAAACATTAATTCAATTCAAAAACGAAGATACCCTCGCGAGCTGAGGGTTTTGACTTTGTCCCCATCCAACCCGCCCTAAATTATCTGTTGTACGGACAGTGACGTCGAGATAGTCTCACCTCATATCTAAATTCATCATACTTTTCGTTGCAAGGATACCACTACGCAATTTGTTAGCAAACATTCCCTGTGAAACGAACGCGTAATGCGAAAAAATAACTCAACTAATTGCATCTATAGTCGGTCATCATGCTCAGTCAACCCAACATTATATTTGTTGAGATCATAGTCTTTCTGATATCACTGACAGAATCCGCAATATTTAATAGTCATGCAATGGTCGAAACAGTTGCCAAAAGCTCAAAATGCTGAACAATTTTAATGCGTAACTAGGCGCAATCAACAAAGAGAAATTTACAGACATGTAAAGCGCCTTCAATATTATTTCGTTTTATCGCTTGATTTCTTCATAGAAGTTTATTGACAGTGAGAAACATACAGTGGTTCGAGCTGATGGAACAACCGAATTTTTTTACGAATAACAGTGAGAATAAAGAAATATTTTTACTTTTTTCGCCATGTAACGAGCGTAAGGACAAAATAAGAGTGCCTGTAAGAAATCGAACCTCAGACCTTTGGATTACGCGTTGTGAAGCTCAATCACAGACAAACAGAGACTCAAAGGTGAGCTAGGCCAGTATTAGGTTGAAAAAATCTGAGATTTCGTAACGAGTAAGTTACATTACGCCAAGATTTGTTGTGAATTACATTTTGGTTTTTTTTCTCCAATGTAGAATCTCAACATATTAACACTAGGTTCGATATCTCGAAACGCGTAAGTTATAATTTTTGTTCAATAATGAATTCTGCGCTTATCTTCTTGGATAAGAAAATGAAATATTGAATTTCTGACAACGCCTCTATCCTTAAGAATTCTTTTATGCAGACATCGATTTGCTGCAAGTTTCTATTGGCCCTCAGCGATCCATCGAAAAAGTGCAAGTACGGTATTTGTTTCGCTCGCGGCCGTAGGAGTGCTCTGTGCTCAATACCATTAATTCAGTCATCACTAATGTATAACTGCTTACCTGAGCTGAACGCCACTCGAGTAATAAAAGTCACAAAGAAAAAGAAAATTTGATGACCCATAGTTGTGCGGTTGAGAGTTGAAAGAAAATTTTCCTTTTAGACAGCGCTTCTTGTATCTTGTCTGTCGTAAGAGAAAGAATGTAACAGGCCTGTGCATGTTTGCAACAGGCTTGTGCACGTTTACCCCATCTGATCTTGAGCTTTGCGTGGGAAAAAAAAATAGCAAATTAGCTGGCTGCGCATTCTGGCACAAAGCTGGTCATGGAGTCTTGACGTAACAAGATCAGGTGCGGGTAAAACGGCGACGTTCACAAGCCTGTTGCATTCGTTCTCTTTCGACAGACAAGATACAAGAAAGCGCCTTCTAAAAGGGAAATTTGGTTTCAACTAACAACCGCACAGCTATGGGTCACTGCATTTTATTTCTCTCTGTAGTTTTAATTACCTTAGTGGCGTTCAGCTCAGGTAAGCAGTATAGATTATTGATGACTGAATGCATTAGACTGAGTATAGAGCACTCCTACAAAACGAAACAAATAAGCGAAACAAATACCGTACATACACTTTTCCAATGGATCGCTTAGGACCAACAGAAACTTGCAGTAAATCAGTGCCTGTATACAAGAAATCTTATGAAAACAGAGGACGAATGCTCTTATTTCGGTGCCTTTAAGCAAAACCTAAAGCATCCTTAACGGTTGACTTAAGCTTTGGGCTTCTTTAATTGTAAACCGAAATGTCCAAAAGCTAACAGTTACCTTTCATGAATCTTTAATTGAACACAAGTTGGAGTTTAATAACGCAAATCTTTTAGCATCCTTAAAGTGGTCTCTTTTTTGGCATAAAAGAGAGTTTTTAATATACATTTAATTTAACTTTAAGGTGAGAATTAAATGAGTCTCGCTGTTTTGGCATCTTTAATTGACGCGCTAAATATAGTCTTATTGTAATCTGATTTGTGAATAGAAAATGCATTACAAATTAGTCAACACTTGCGTTGTCCAGGAATAGCAATTTTTTTCCATGTGTGGCATCAAATTTTGTCGAAATATCTGAATTGATGGCGACGGGTTATCATTTTCGCATCTCCTTTAAAGAACGCATGGAGCGCAATGACAAGAAAGGATATATTTACTGCGCTCATTGTAATAACTTCGTATCACGTTCAACTTTCGAAAGGCATGAGCGAAAACGTAAGGAGACTAACTTAACAGATACTTTCGGGGCGACTTCAAATTGCCGTGATTTCTTTCACGAGATTTCAAGTTCATCTGACGAAGGTGAATGTAGGTTGTGTCGCCCCATTGCCTTGTCGCCCCAGGTTATGTCGCCCCAACCGAAGTTACGTCGCCCCAACATCGGAGTTGTGTCGCCCCAACATCGTGGTTGTGTCGCCCCAACATCAAAGATTCTCCGATCGATTTACGCGAACGATCGACTTATAAACATGACACTGCTGTAAGATTTATCGATCGATCGAAGGAAAAGTTTGTAAGATTATTACGATGTAACTCGAGCGAGCGGCTTGTAAACATGACACTGCTGTAAGATTTATCGATCGATCGAAGGAAAAGTTTGTAAGATTATTACGATGTAACTCGAGCGAGCGGCTTGTAAAAAGCAACTTAACGCGAACGATCGACTTTATCTAACATAAACATAACACTGCTGTAGGCTTTATCGATCGAACGAAGGAAAAGTTTGTAAGGTTATTACGATATAACTCGATCGAGCGGCTTGTGAAAAGTAACTTCACGCGAACGATCGACTTAAACATAAACATAACACTGCTGTATTAACTTTAGCTGACTTAGCTTGCCGTTCTTTCAAAATGCAACTGTGTACTGCGAAGCTGATAAATCTACTTCGAACATTTCGGCTCAATTCAGGATTTTATTTCAATAGTTTGATGTAAAGCATGCTTACAATGAAGTTGTGTAACATTAACTAACCTTTCATTCGTGTTTTTATATCAAAAGGTGCTTTAGTAGAGCTAAAGGAAAGGGCAATCAAAAACAAGCGTAAAGTTGGAGCCTCGACCGATAGCGATAGGATTATAGTACCCAGTTCCCCGCGGGCTGCTGATAACATTCTTTATTGATTATGACGTGGGTAATTTTATTCGATTGTCCTTCATGGCTAACCCGAGAAATTCAGACAGAAAAGAACACAATATTTATTTCCAACACCAAGTTTATTATTCACTAAGGAGTATTTTCCACTAACAACAGGTATTTATACTTAATATATTTACTTTTGTTTAACACTTAACAATAAAATATCTTAGATCCTAATTTAATTTTCCCTCTTTACGCCTTACTCGCAACAAAAGTCAAATTCTTACAAATAGCTAGACATAAAATCGGTTCACTAGCGAATTAAAATCTCTTGCATAACACTTAGAATCAAATATCTCAGATCCGAATGTATTGTTTTCTCACCTTGCTCTCTACAAAACTCAAATTCTTACAATTAGCTAAATCTTTGATCCTAATCTTAACGCCTTACTTACAAAGCAAAACTCGAACAATGACGAATTCTATCACTTTCTATAACTAACTTAACGAATTGTTTTAAGCGCCTCTCGGCCCAACAAGTAATGAACAAGCCTTGAGAAGTTGTCGCGGCGTCTTGTCGCCCTCTTCATATTGTCCCCACAGTGAAAATACCTTAGCCTGGATTTGACGATATCTGCGCCGCTGAACTCGTCGAAGTTTCTTTTCTGAGACCATACGCACGTTCAGGGAAGTTAGTTTTTATGATTATAATTATGTATGCGACCGGACGTTCACGACACGCCTGTGTAATATTTTTCCTTTTTTGCGCTAGCGGTTTCTCTGTATTATCTCTGAAACATAGTTGTTACGGCCACGAATGTGGTATGGACGTTAGGCCTGGTTTTAGAAGCTTTTCAATGCGACATTCGCTGTTCACGGAGACAATTTGTACCGAACAACTCCGCATCGCCCGCCATCTTCGTTGCTTCGATCGATTTATACGAAGAAAGAAGAAAGGTTACACCTACAGCCGGTTACCTTATTACAGTAACCATGTTTCAACTTTTAACATCGAGTTTATTTGCTGCCACGGCGATATCCATCCCCATCCAGGTCCACAGACTGGTCATCGGAATTTGAGAGTTAGCAGTGAGGTGAACAACATGGCGTATGTAAATCCTAGGTCAGATGTATCTGTCTTTTACGCCAACTCAAGGAGTTTGGTTAACAAGATTAATCAGCTGGAACTAGAGATTGCTACCTATCAATATGATCTCATGGTATTTACGGAGACTCACTTGGACAGCTCTATTTTGGATAGTGAACTCTTCCCTTCTATTTATACGGTTTTCAGGCGTGTTCGTGTTCAAAATGGTCGCCGCGGTGGCGGTATTTTGATAGCTGTACGCGATACGTTGCGTGCGTCTGTGAGAGAAGATGTTAATTTCGATTCCGAATTATTATTTGTCGATATTTTATTCCCGGCGAATAGAAAAATTAGTCTAGGTGGCTTCTATAGGCCGCCTAACAGTAGTATTAACTGCCTGTTGGATCTACAAACGGCTCTTGATACTGTGGTTTCTTCATCACAAAACTCAGAGATGGTCCTTGTTGGCGACTTTAATATTCCCGAATTCGACTGGAACACCGACTGCACTTCTGTGGATTCACCTAACGCTACTTTTTTGTCGGATATCATACACGACAATTTTCTATTCCAGCTGGTCAAAGACCCAACTCGCAACGGAAATATCTTAGACTTAGTATTCGTCACGTCTCTTGACCTAGTCTACGATCTAAAAGTTGGCCTGCCCTTCTCTGACCATAACTCGATCTCTATGCTACTATCAAGAAAATCATTCTCTGAAAGGAAATCGCAGAAGTTGAGCTATTCATTTAAGAAGGCGGATTGGAATCACCTCAGGAATCTTTTACATTACACTCCATGGCATTGTGCCTTTATGGATACTGACATTGATTGTATTTGGGCTGCATGGTCTGATATGTTTTTATCTGCTGTCAACGAGTGTATCCCAAGGCGGACAGTGAAGAGAACTTCGAATGCACCATGGATAAGCGGGGATCTAATTAAGTTGTGTAGAAGAAAGAAAGTGCTTTATAAAAGGGCAAAAAAAACCTGTGCTCTTTCTGATTGGAACAAATATCGTAAATTCAACAACTATGTGAAGAAGGAATGCAACTCTGCACGTAGGCAATTTATAAACAATCTGGCAGATGAACTAAAGACCGGAAACAGTTCAAAGCCTTTTTGGAACTTTGTTCAATCAAAGAGAAAAGTCAAATGTGATTTAGCGTCCTTAAAGGTGAACGATTCGTATCTTAACGACGACCTGAAGTTACTTTTTACAAGCCACTCGCTCGAGTTACATCCTAATAATCTTACAAACTTTTCCTTCGATTGATCGATAAATCTTACAGCAGTGTTATGTTTATGTTATAAGTCGATCGTTCGCGTAAATCGATCGGAGAATCTTACAAACTTTTACTTGATAAGCGAAGTTACGAAGTTACGCGTTGGGGCGACGCAACTTTGATGTTGGGGCGACACAACCATGATGTTGGGGCGACACAACTCCGATGTTGGGGCGACGTAACTTCGGTTGGGGCGACATAACCTGGGGCGACAAGGCAATGGGGCGACACAACCTGACACCATGTTAGTTACCTTGAATATGGAAGAGTTACATATATATAAGTTACTATATATCTTTATCTTTACATTAGAACGTAACTGCTATTCAACGTTGCTTGAGGCGATAGGCCACTGCCAACTAATTTTTTTCTTTTACACCAATTCCCTACAGGCCCACAGATTTTGTTCAGGAAAGGCGTCTTGAAATCGACGTATAAGTAGATAATTCTTGGTCAAACGCTGAGCAGTTGAGAAAGGAAGAACGCGGAGTTTGTACATAAACTTATATCTTGTAAATTGTTAAACGGAATTTATTGGCCGAGTGGCATAAACTGACCAAGCTGTTAAAAAAAAAAAGCTTGTATTACACAAACAAGACACTTTTGCAAAAGCTATGTTATCTACCAATGATTTTTGGTTGTTGTTTGAGGTTGCCGTATAATTATAATTAGTTTGTTTGTTGGTTTTTTCGTTATCATAACCGGAAGAGTACTTTATTGGGATTTGAAACATGGATTGTCCGTTCTGAAAACTACCTGTCTTTTGAATAGCAGTTACGTTCTTCCTGCCTTTCGAAAGTTGAGCGTGGTACGAAGTCATTAAAGTGAGCGCAGAAATATGCTCTCTTGTCATTTCACTGAATGCACTCTTTTAAGGAGATGCAAAAATGAAAGCCGTCGCTTTCAATACAGATGTTTCGACCCCAGAAAGAATTGTGAGCACGATAAAGTTTGCAGTTTCACGTTGAACAAAATAAAACTATCTTTAGTGCGTCAATTAAAGATGTCAAAACAGCGAGACTCAATTAATTCTCACCTTAAAGTTAAATTAAAGGTATATTACTTAAAAACCCTATTTTGTGCCAAAAAGAGAGCACTTAAAGGATGCTCAAAGATATTAAAGTTCACCTTGTGTTTAAGCAAAGATTAATGAAAGGTAACTGTTAGCTTTTGGATATTTCGCTTGACGATTAAAGACGCCTAAAGCTTAAGTCAACCGTTGAGGATGCTTTAGGTTTTGCCTCAAGCCACTGAAATAAGAGCATTCGTCCTGTGATAGCCAGCGGACTTACCGGAATCCGGGGATGAGATGATGTCGTAAAGCGTTTTTATTTCATGTTTCCATTTACAACCCTTTGTTTATGAACACTGCTTTTGATGAAACTTTCTCTTTTTTGGGCATGATGCAGACCTGAAGAAAAATATGCTTTTTCGATTTGCTATTATTGATTCGACCGCAGGTAAACTTTCCCGTAAACACGCCTACTGAAATCATTCTTTCATTGATTTTGTCTCCTTTGGTTTTAGACATAAAAAGGTGCGTTATACAAACAATAAAAAATCCTCATAATGATTTGCTAACTTATTTTACTAGGCAAGCTAGTGCATCTAATTTGGCGACAAGGATATAGCCGTAATACGGACGGTAATACGGAAACATGAGGGAAAAAATTCAGCATATTTGGGTTTTTTCGGCCTATCTGGTGACAATGTGGAGAACCGTTTTCCTTTTTTTTTATCTCGGGTTGTAGCAAAGTTTGCACATTTACATTGATGGACGCTACAACAGTTTGAAGGTACTGCTTTTATTCTTTATTTATTCTAAACCGGAATTAAACGAATCACTGGGTTTATCAAAAGGACGATACATAATACTTTTATCACTTAGTAAAACACGGGGCAAAAACGGAATATGAAAAAACAATGCAAAACCAACCGTAACAATAATATTGCCATTTATATAAAATTACGGCTACATTATTCAATGGCAGCTTCATGGGAATTTATGATTTTAAAGAGTTGCTTTAAGAGGCACACCATGAAAACAGAAGCTAATATAACTATCTTTCACTATCTTTTTCAAGTCACAGCCTGGAAAGGGTTGGTGTAAACTTGATGTACTTAGAGAAAACAGTGCTACTGTATATTAATTTATGTGATGAGACTTGGTTAGGATACTTTCTTGTGTAAATTACTGAACGCTGGTTGCTCGTGTCTGTTCCGAGTTCGTGTTCAAGCAAAGGTGCGTTAAACCTTGAACAAGTTCAAGTTTCACGTCTATCAGTAACAAACCACGCCTGAGTCTTCGAAGTGATGGCAGTGGTTAAATGCTATTTGGGTGAATGGACACTCGAATAATGAGCTCTCTGATCCATCGCAGTTTATGTAATCTCTCCATATAGGGCCCGATCCTTGACCATATGCCGCACTAGCGTTAGCAGAGGAAGCTCCAGTGAAGCCAAGCTGCTTACAAGCCACATTTGCATCATTTATATCCCATGCATCATCGCAAATTGTTCCCCAGACCCCTCTGTCAAACACTTCAACACGACCGTAGCTCGCCCCACCATCCGTCAAACGAACCGGAAGAGAGTCGTACGAACAAGTTACACTAGCATCTTGACCATGAGTGCAGTTTTAATGGTTACCCCAACCACTGTGTCCACAACTGGAAATTGACGACTCATTTCCAATGCAATTCACTGCATTTATCCATATTGGACCGGTTCCTTGACCATGACTGGCGCCGCTAAAGACTTGGGAAACCCTGTCGAAGCCAAGTTGCTTACAGGCCACCAGGCCGGCGTCGATGTTCCACCCATTGTCACAAATTGTGCCCCAGTGATCATTAAAATAGACCTCTATCCTTCCAGTGAATGGATTATTACCAGCTATACGCAATGCACCATCTGTCAAAACTTTGAGAGAAAAGAGGACTCGATATCAACTGATTTATGATTTGATTGAAATGTCCATCAATTATTCAATTGCTCGATCTATTAAAAGAAAAGTTTTTAATAGGTCTAGGACGTTATTAAGAGAAAGTGCTTAAGGCTATAAGGAAGAATTCTTTCCTTGCAAACTGTTAAGGAAGGAACCGGAGGTCTCATACTGAAGAAACCAAATGGCTTAAGGAAAAACCGCCTGAAGTTCACTGCATATAAAAAACGAAAATACGAAAAGGAAAATCGTTTGTTTTCATTCGGAAGTATTTTGATATGCTATGTGTACTGATTTTCTTATGATTTACGAAACGTGCATTTAGATAAGAAGGCATCATACCTCGGAAACGTGCGCGAAATCCAGATTTAGTTACTGAATCATTGGTCATAAACCGAAGGAAAAGTTTGCTGGACGAACTTTTTACTGCAGAAGGAAGAGATGATCCATTAAATCCACCAATCAGAGGGGCAGAGGATGATTCACCGTCATAAACTTGCACAACATCGTGCTCAGATTCTGTTTCGAAAATCATAAAGGAAAGTTCTATTCTCGCATTTGAAGACACCATCCAATAGCAGTCCAAATTGTTCTCGTAGTTTGTACCAATCTGATTCGACTCGATGATAACATCCCCATTATGGAGTTGCCAGACAGGTGATTTGTTGCAGGAGCGAACCACTTTAACTTTGGGGACTGTCATAGAAATAGGAATTTAAACAGCAGTTGTTATAAGAACATAATTTGTTGCATTAGCGGTGTACAAACCCAAATCTATTGTCTCTTTGATCCAAGTTAAGCTTGCGATTTAGTGGCGAAAGATATATTCAGGAGCCTTTAAGTAGTATCTATTTCCTGGAATGAGCTTATCTGGTATGGTTTTGTGCTTGTTTTGAAAAATATTATCTGATAATAAAGGGCAGGAGAGTTATTGAGTCCTCGTTCTATATTCATTTATTTATTTATTTATTTATTCACTTTAATTATACAAATCATCTTCAAAAATAATAACAAGAATACCACTAACAATATATTTCTAAATGTACAATGATACGTTGCATATTAGGCCAGTTCTATAGATTATCAGTGGTTTAGTAAGTTTGAATAAGCCGTACATCCCTGCTATGGCCCTTCATACAATGTTTACCCCCACGTCAAGCTGTAATTTTTACAGCGGGAAGGAAAAGTATAGAATTCAGATAAGGAATCCTTTGAGCAAGAAGAGAGTCACAAAAAGCCTAAACCAAGCGTGAGCAGGCACTGATACTGCCTTTGAACCTCAACGATGCGTGGAAACTTTGGTTATAGACAGCTCAACGTAACTTACCTATTTCACATTGGAGCCCATCAAAACCTTTCGGACATGCGCACTTGAAGCCACCGATATGATCAGAGCAGGTTCCATTGTTACGGCAAGGACGGTTCGCGCAGTCATCAATATCTATTTGAACCAAAAAAGGTATCTTTTACAACAATTGGAATTAATGTCGCAATATGATTCGCCAATTTGCCGTTGTTGATAAGAATACAGACAACACCGCTTGAGTCAACGTGTCACGCAATGATCAAGCACTGTTAGAGTCGTTTTATTAATTGTTGTGACGAATATCGTGTCGATCATATCACAGACGACGCTAAACCACTGTCGATTAAGTTTTGGTGCACATTAGAGAATCCACCGGCTTAGCGATATTACGGCCTAGCGTATTTCCAGAGCTACTAAGTCCTTGCCATTCCATGGTGATAATTTTTGTTTTGTATTGAGCGAGCACAAAAGGGGCAACTCGGCTGCTTGATAAAGTAACTTTTAAACAGTCAGAAATATTTTGCAAACTGGTTATTTAAAATGAAGTAAAGGCAAGCATTATTGATTTTGATACACTCAGTTATTCTTAAAAATAAAGGCTTGCTTCTTTGTTTATTCTTGTTGTTGTTGATGTTTTTCACCTTTTGGACTTATAAAGCAAGGTCACTTAATGCCGTTCCCCTCTAGAAAAAAAGCAAGTTTGTTTTATTTTTGCTCTCGTGCCAATGAATTTCTAGCTCGAATGTATCTCTTCTAACAACATTGAAAATCATTACTCATCGTTAGGAGCTATGGACACTTAAGCACAAGATTTGTACATATAGTAGTTCCGTGTTTCCTGTGTACTGTCCCATGCTTAATGCGTGCATCTGCTTGGCTTCAGGTCTGTTGAGCGAGGCAGGCCGTTTTTCTGTATCTCGAAAACTTTCACGTTTCTCAATATTTTGTTTCAATATTTTACATTTTGTTTTTGAAGTAGTACTAAGTTTTCGATTTTATCTTATCTAAAAGCTATCATTTTCCTCTATATTTCTAATTGAAGTCAATCTTTAAGTCGTGTCACAGTGACTGAAAATTTCATGGCATACTCTTTTTTTCATTGGCTAAGGAAGCGTAAATATTTAAAACGTATGACAAGTTTTAACTTCAAAGATTGCCCTGTTTTTTTTTTAATTAATTAAAGATGCCAAGGGAAAATAAACATTTGCATTTCCTGCATATGGTTGGTAAATCTCATGGGATACCACAAAGAATCTTAATTATTTTGAACCGTAGTATACATGCGAATGGCCCTTGATACATTTGAAACCTTTCGCTTCCGTTATAACCTCATTTCCCTGCATTTTGTACCGGCAGCTCGGATTTTCGTTTGTGTACAAACTGAATTAAGTGTTCGAATATTTCCTAGAGAGGGCTCTAGTATGATCTCAGGGCGATGTCATGTACCATTAGATGCTAGAAAGTTAAAGAAAAAACTTTGAAAGAAGGAATGATGAATGATGACTACAAATCGTTGCCTACCTGCTTCGCAGTTACTTCCTGTGTATCCTTCTGTGCAAACACACACGTAACTGTTGCTCACGTAATTTGAACGGCAAGTGCCTTTGTCTTGACAGGGCTTGTTTAAGCACGGAGACTAAAGACAAAAAATTAGGAAAGCGAAGGATCTCTAGATGGTAGCGTGTGCTACCTTGACATACGATAAGATTCAAAATAGTTAAGGGTTATTAACCAAAGCTGAGGTGACTAGTGGTGGATATTTACCGAGCCGCGAAGCAGCGTGGCAAATATTCACACTTTCACCAACACTGAGGTGAATAATTGTTTTATCATATATCACACAGTGAATAAAAAATGATTTCTTTCGCTCGATGTAAAGAAACATGGTCGGAAATTTAACCCTTGATGCACGATTTTGTATATTGTGCTGGTCGTAAGAGAAAAATAATCGCAAATTACGTTACGTCCAGACTAGTCCATCAGCGCGTTCGAAAAGTGCTTTTCACCTGCATGGTACATGCTATCTCGGAATTTTCTCTCGATAAATTCCGTTTTAGTCAAGAACATTCACTTTTTTGTAATTAAAGCTCAGGTTCTTCAAAATTTATTGTATTGGTCGTGAAATTTAGCTGCCTCATACACGTTGGTCACGAATGTAATTCTCAAAGATTGCCGCCGCTTTTCATGAAGTAGTCTATGATAAGAAAAATAGCCAAGAAATATCGCCGTTTAATAACCAACTTGTTCATAACTGATCCGTTTAAAACCAGGTAATTTTGCTCTCATTCGTCACATTCATTATATTTGCATGTTATACCAGATGCAACCATCACTGCAAGATGCGTACATAATATAAAATGAGAAAACGCCAAAACAAAAATCCGTAAAAGGAGGATTAAGAGTTATCCCAACACAACGATTCCCAATTTACCCATAACCCATTTGCCCCAATTAATTAAGTTATGAAAAAAGTTAGAGTCAAGAAACAAAATAAAACAAAGCATATCAAAGCATCAGAGAAAGCTAACCACCACTTTCTTAGCCAGCTGGATGTTTACTAATACAGTGTAAGAGTCTTGGTGCCAAAACCTGATCACATGTTGCACAAACGTTTTACGCTGATCTCGACGTTTTGTTTCCATATTCCCTATAAGCAATTACTGAGCAAACACGACTTAAACTTCCTACATCTTTAAGAAAACCACCGTCGATTCTCTAAAAATAAGTAAAATACGAATTCTTACCCAGATACTAATATAATGAAAAAGACGATTGGCAACCAGCTTGTCCGAGTTGTTGCAGATGTCCGAGGGAAGCAGTACACATAGGATTTTACTGTTCATATCAACAACGGCAGCCAGGTTGAAGGAAAAGCACGAGGGTGTGTTGATACAGGTAAGTCCACAATCTCTACTGCTGTGGACATAATCTGCTCCAAGTGCTGTTATGTTCAGATAGGACAGCTTGTGCGCTTTAAATCTGTCAAAAGCGACACCAGTGTGAGCATTTCTCTCTATGCCTTTACCAAGTGCGTCAATAGTCTTTGGTTGACCTATTTGTGATGATCGACAGAAAAAGTGCAAAATTACAGCAGACTTAGCAATTAACAATTTGTTTCATGCACCAGCAGGGGTTTATTGAGACGCGAGAGATTTGCAGAGCCCTAAAAGATGCGCAAGAGTTCCTCAAGGTGAAGACAAATGCAACTCTTGGTTTTTGAATGCTTTCTTAACTTTCCAAAGTGTTTCATAACCCGACGAACGCACACCTGAAGTATGAAACAATTATTTATTTGCATGATTTCTGAGGAGAAATTTCCTCCA